AACATAATATATGTGTAATAAATGTATCATATAATAATATACATGGATGGTATCCTGACAACCTTCTGCATCTAAATAATGATATGAGCGTCGTGTCTTTTTCTTGCCATCATATACATTAAACCTGGGCGAGAGAGTGAGTCTGATGTTTGCGTCGTTCTTTCTCTCTTTTAACAAACCTTTGTGCAAGTCAGGCATCTGCTTATATTACATGTATCTCTACCCTTTCTCTTTTCTTTGTCGTCCAAACCCATCAATAAAATTCCTTCGATGATGAGTGAGTGCTTTGACAGCTGGTTTGCATAGACTAGGGGCTGTTAGAGTTAGCACAACACCTTCAAGCGCATAGGGTGGTGGTGGGCTTTGGCCATAATTTCATTCTGTTAACTGTTACACAATCATGGCTGATAAATGTATTATATCTTAAATCTGAATGCTTTTGTTTTTTTAGTTTTAGTACAGGTTTTACGGCGCTCGCAACACAAAAAGGTCATATGAGCGCCAGAAGATTAGAGGTGTTACAAGAGAGTAACAAACATAAAAAGAGAAGAAGGGGAGATAAGGACGATAGATGTTTAATAGGAAAGAAAAAGCAAACCACACCAGAGCACCCGCCAACCACCCACTGCTTTAATTTAATTCTCTCTGTGAGAGCTATCTAGCGCTGTCTGCCTGAATAATAACATAGCTGGTGTTTCATCAGTCAGTTTGTAGCTAAACATCTTGGAAAACGATAAGAAGAAGCTAACAACATGCAATAATATCGACTATCCTCTGTAAAAACAATTAATTGAAATCCACACCGGGAAAGTCAGGATGACACTGACACACATTGTGTACTTTCCCTAAATGAATTCTAAACATTAATATTAAATCTGAAAAGATACTCCTTTGCCTTTCAATTTCATCAATTTTGTTGATAAGTTTCATTTATTCAACCTCAGCTACTATTCAAATCAGTGAAATCTATCACTGGATAGAAGAGAATATTATAATCTTCCGTGCGTACCGGTATGTATTGTTTTGCTGTCTCTCTCTCTCTCTCTCTCTCT